CTGACTGACAGAAGCAGAGAGCCCTCTCAGACATTGATTCTGACTGACAGAAGCAGAGAGCCCTCTCAGACATTGATTCTGACTGACAGAAGCAGAGAGCCCTCTCAGACATTGATTCTGACTGACAGAAGCAGAGAGCCCTCTCAGACATTGATTCTGACTGACAGAAGCAGAGAGCCCTCTCAGACATTGATTCTGACTGACAGAAGCAGAGAGCCCTCTCAGACATTGATTCTGACTGACAGAAGCAGAGAGCCCTCTCAGACATTGATTCTGACTGACAGAAGCAGAGAGCCCTCTCAGACATTGATTCTGACTGACAGAAGCAGAGAGCCCTCTCAGACATTGATTCTGACTGACAGAAGCAGAGAGCCCTCTCAGACATTGATTCTGACTGACAGAAGCAGAGAGCCCTCTCAGACATTGATTCTGACTGACAGAAGCAGAGAGCCCTCTCAGACATTGATTCTGACTGACAGAAGCAGAGAGCCCTCTCAGACATTGATTCTGACTGACAGAAGCAGAGAGCCCTCTCAGACATTGATTCTGACTGACAGAAGCAGAGAGCCCTCTCAGACATTGATTCTGACTGACAGAAGCAGAGAGCCCTCTCAGACATTGATTCTGACTGACAGAAGCAGAGAGCCCTCTCAGACATTGATTCTGACTGACAGAAGCAGAGAGCCCTCTCAGACATTGATTCTGACTGACAGAAGCAGAGAGCCCTCTCAGACATTGATTCTGACTGACAGAAGCAGAGAGCCCTCTCAGACATTGATTCTGACTGACAGAAGCAGAGAGCCCTCTCAGACATTGATTCTGACTGACAGAAGCAGAGAGCCCTCTCAGACATTGATTCTGACTGACAGAAGCAGAGAGCCCTCTCAGACATTGATTCTGACTGACAGAAGCAGAGAGCCCTCTCAGACATTGATTCTGACTGACAGAAGCAGAGAGCCCTCTCAGACATTGATTCTGACTGACAGAAGCAGAGAGCCCTCTCAGACATTGATTCTGACTGACAGAAGCAGAGAGCCCTCTCAGACATTGATTCTGACTGACAGAAGCAGAGAGCCCTCTCAGACATTGATTCTGACTGACAGAAGCAGAGAGCCCTCTCAGACATTGATTCTGACTGACAGAAGCAGAGAGCCCTCTCAGACATTGATTCTGACTGACAGAAGCAGAGAGCCCTCTCAGACATTGATTCTGACTGACAGAAGCAGAGAGCCCTCTCAGACATTGATTCTGACTGACAGAAGCAGAGAGCCCTCTCAGACATTGATTCTGACTGACAGAAGCAGAGAGCCCTCTCAGACATTGATTCTGACTGACAGAAGCAGAGAGCCCTCTCAGACATTGATTCTGACTGACAGAAGCAGAGAGCCCTCTCAGACATTGATTCTGACTGACAGAAGCAGAGAGCCCTCTCAGACATTGATTCTGACTGACAGAAGCAGAGAGCCCTCTCAGACATTGATTCTGACTGACAGAAGCAGAGAGCCCTCTCAGACATTGATTCTGACTGACAGAAGCAGAGAGCCCTCTCAGACATTGATTCTGACTGACAGAAGCAGAGAGCCCTCTCAGACATTGATTCTGACTGACAGAAGCAGAGAGCCCTCTCAGACATTGATTCTGACTGACAGAAGCAGAGAGCCCTCTCAGACATTGATTCTGACTGACAGAAGCAGAGAGCCCTCTCAGACATTGATTCTGACTGACAGAAGCAGAGAGCCCTCTCAGACATTGATTCTGACTGACAGAAGCAGAGAGCCCTCTCAGACATTGATTCTGACTGACAGAAGCAGAGAGCCCTCTCAGACATTGATTCTGACTGACAGAAGCAGAGAGCCCTCTCAGACATTGATTCTGACTGACAGAAGCAGAGAGCCCTCTCAGACATTGATTCTGACTGACAGAAGCAGAGAGCCCTCTCAGACATTGATTCTGACTGACAGAAGCAGAGAGCCCTCTCAGACATTGATTCTGACTGACAGAAGCAGAGAGCCCTCTCAGACATTGATTCTGACTGACAGAAGCAGAGAGCCCTCTCAGACATTGATTCTGACTGACAGAAGCAGAGAGCCCTCTCAGACATTGATTCTGACTGACAGAAGCAGAGAGCCCTCTCAGACATTGATTCTGACTGACAGAAGCAGAGAGCCCTCTCAGACATTGATTCTGACTGACAGAAGCAGAGAGCCCTCTCAGACATTGATTCTGACTGACAGAAGCAGAGAGCCCTCTCAGACATTGATTCTGACTGACAGAAGCAGAGAGCCCTCTCAGACATTGATTCTGACTGACAGAAGCAGAGAGCCCTCTCAGACATTGATTCTGACTGACAGAAGCAGAGAGCCCTCTCAGACATTGATTCTGACTGACAGAAGCAGAGAGCCCTCTCAGACATTGATTCTGACTGACAGAAGCAGAGAGCCCTCTCAGACATTGATTCTGACTGACAGAAGCAGAGAGCCCTCTCAGACATTGATTCTGACTGACAGAAGCAGAGAGCCCTCTCAGACATTGATTCTGACTGACAGAAGCAGAGAGCCCTCTCAGACATTGATTCTGACTGACAGAAGCAGAGAGCCCTCTCAGACATTGATTCTGACTGACAGAAGCAGAGAGCCCTCTCAGACATTGATTCTGACTGACAGAAGCAGAGAGCCCTCTCAGACATTGATTCTGACTGACAGAAGCAGAGAGCCCTCTCAGACATTGATTCTGACTGACAGAAGCAGAGAGCCCTCTCAGACATTGATTCTGACTGACAGAAGCAGAGAGCCCTCTCAGACATTGATTCTGACTGACAGAAGCAGAGAGCCCTCTCAGACATTGATTCTGACTGACAGAAGCAGAGAGCCCTCTCAGACATTGATTCTGACTGACAGAAGCAGAGAGCCCTCTCAGACATTGATTCTGACTGACAGAAGCAGAGAGCCCTCTCAGACATTGATTCTGACTGACAGAAGCAGAGAGCCCTCTCAGACATTGATTCTGACTGACAGAAGCAGAGAGCCCTCTCAGACATTGATTCTGACTGACAGAAGCAGAGAGCCCTCTCAGACATTGATTCTGACTGACAGAAGCAGAGAGCCCTCTCAGACATTGATTCTGACTGACAGAAGCAGAGAGCCCTCTCAGACATTGATTCTGACTGACAGAAGCAGAGAGCCCTCTCAGACATTGATTCTGACTGACAGAAGCAGAGAGCCCTCTCAGACATTGATTCTGACTGACAGAAGCAGAGAGCCCTCTCAGACATTGATTCTGACTGACAGAAGCAGAGAGCCCTCTCAGACATTGATTCTGACTGACAGAAGCAGAGAGCCCTCTCAGACATTGATTCTGACTGAGGATCGAAGCCGCAACAGCTGCGCATTGTACGAGCTAGGTAGCGGATGAATGGGCCGGATAGCGAATCCACACATGATCGGGAAAATTTGATCGATCACGAAAGGTTGCGGAAATATTATTTATGAATGAATAAGCATGCGAAGGGGAAGGGAGCAGAATCGGCGGAGGTAGCAGGCGCTGGAACAGGCTGCTGATGGGCCTGATGGGGCTGATGGGGCTGATGGGGCTGATGCGGGACATGGGGCTGATGGGGGACATGGGGCTGATGGGGGCTCACGGAGGATGCGTGTGGTGATGGGCGAGGAGCCGTTGACAAGCCGCATAATACCACGGTGAGGCGTGTGTGAGAGTCTCCCAGGGACTGGTGAAGGGACGGTGAGAGGCAGCTTACAAAGGGGCTGCTGATTGGGCTGGCGGAGGCAACAGAGGATGCTTGGAGGGATTTTTGAGGATTCGGTAATTACCCTAAGGTTACTGTCCCACCCATTCACCGCGCCTCTCAGCCTCTTGGTTCCCATCCATTCCTCAACCACTCTTTCTTTCCAACCCTTGCCTCGTTTACGGCACCTCCTGATCTGCGCTGTTCTGCTCCGGTTTGCTTCCCACACCCACTCGCACCCACTTGCACCCACTTGCACCCACTTGCACCCACTGGCACATTGCTTGCGAGGCCACTGCTTTGTGCCCTTGCTTTACCCCCTCCTTTGCACTTCCTCTTATTATTTCCCCTTCTCTTCCCTTTACCCTCGTATCTCCCTTCACCCTTTTTCCCTTTTTCCCCTCCCTTTACCACCTTCCCTCCCTTTACCCCCTTCCCTCCCTTAACCACCTTCCCTCCCTTTACCCCCTTCACTCCCTTCAACCCCTCCCATCCCTTTATTTCCTCCCCGTCCTTTACCCCCTCCCCTCCCCCATTTGACCAACCCACCTGTGCACCTACTTGATCTTCTCGGCCTGCTTCATTCCTCCTGAAGTTTAAATCGCTGTTTGCCCGAATGCGCTGACTATCCTTCCCACATGGCTTTGCTACTCCCGCTGTATCGGCATGGGAAAGGAGACCTGATTTCCCCCTAGGTTCACCCAACAGCCCCCCCAGGAAAACAAAACACAAAACTATGGCTTTGCTCACAGGAGGGCAACGATCTCAATTGCTCTCCTTCTCTGCTACCTCTTACTTCCATCCCAACTCCCCCCTCTTTTCGCTCCCACCTCTGCATCGGTGTCTCCTAGCGAACTTTTACCTTGCTGTTCTCTCTCCCTACACTTCTCTCAGCTCGACGTGGTACCCCCTCTCCACACCACCACCACCAGCTCCACCAAACTTATAGAGCCACGCTGAAGCGAAAGTGCAATTCTAGTGGCTGGCCAAGAACAACAGAGTGTTATATACATATCGTCATCGCCCGGATAGTAGACAGTGTTGAATAGTAGACAGGGGTTGTCTATTATCCGGGTGTCTCTTATAAACAGGCTAGCCTTTTTATACGACACCTATTTGTGTGTACGAGATAAGACATATATGTTTTATAACCAGAACCGGGGTTTAGGGGTTTTCTTATGAACAGGGCGTGTCTTCTAAACGATCCTTGCTTTCATTAGGGGGGTACATGCATACATTCATGAATCTTTACTTCTACCTAGACCCCTTCAGTCACCGCCTCCTCACCTGCACTAACAACAGGCTCTCTAACTCCCAAATCTGGCACTCGCCAGACATGCCTAGCCGTCTCCCCAGGCTCGATCATGCGGTCAGCCTCGGCCGCCGCTCCGCGGTAGTTGGGGGTCTCCTGGTACAGCACCTCCAGGCCAGTTGCCACGGCCACCTCCCTCACGCCCTCGCCCTGCATCCCCTCCTCCTCCTCCTCCTCCTCCTCCTCCTCCTCCTCCTCCTCCTCCTCCTCCTCCTCCTCCTCCTCCTCCTCCTCCTCCTCCTCCTCCTCCTCCTCCTCCTCCTCCTCCTCCTCCTCCTCCTCTGGAGCCTGACCAAGCAGGCGCGTGTTGTCGCCTGTGGTCCCCCCGAGGCACATGTCCTCGGATACGTCGGTGGTGCTCTTGGCGCGCAGATGCGACATCACCAGGTGGTTCTCCGTTCCGTCCAGCTTGCTTGAAATCCCACAGTGGCGGAACGCGTCAATGATGACCTGCTTGGGGACTTGATCCCAAGCTTCCGCGATCCACTGCAGCACCACGGGGTGCGGAGGCCTCCGCAGGTTCCCTACAGGTGGCACAGAGGCAGGGGCAGCGAGTCGTAAGAGACATGGATAGGAAATAGAGCAGAGTTTTAGTCCGGAGCATTACTCACCCTTCTTCGTCTTCAGGTGAATTCCTTCACGCATGAACCACTTGGCGTAGCGCGCTCGCACGGCAGCCTTGAAGCACCGGTTGATGGAGACATCCAGGGGTTGAATCTGGCTTGTACAACCCACTGGGATAACTGCAGGGGTGATGTTGTGCGTGCGGTACGATTGAAGCATGGTCTGGGTGATGTGGCCGCGGTAGGAGTCCAACACCAGCATCGCACGCCTCGCGTTCTGGCCGCGCTGGGGGTTCAGATGCGGCAGCACCTCCTTCGTCAGCCAGGTCTGCGCAGCGCTCTCGTCCATCCACCCGTTGTCCTGTGCTTGGACCACGATTCCTGCCAGACACATAGGGGACAAACGGGCATCAGCCAACGAGGGCAAGCTTATCAGGCATTTGGCTTTTGAATTCCTTGAGCTTACCTTCCGGAATCTCACAGTTGGGCACGTTCTTCAGCATGAACCACACCCACGGCCGCAGCTTCTCCCCAGATGCGGTGCACGCGAGCATCACTGTCAAGCGCGTCTTCTGGTAGCTTGCGATGCGGATTGGGACTGAGCGCGCGCCACGGTGCTCGATCGTCCTCTCGGCCGGCATCTCCACGAATAGTGGCGTCTGTCCGCGTTAATGATGCGGGCCAGGTCAATGTTGTGCCGCGCCCTGTTGATGCGCACGAACTTCCAGAAGGACTCGCAGTCCTTCGCGCACTCTGCAAATGGAACAAAAGCCACGGAAGCAAGGGATTGTTAGAAACTGGGCTAGGTACTTGCACTCAAGCATCGAGCGCGAAACAAATTCCTTCATTATTCACCTGCCGATAAACGTTGGCTGACCTTGGTCTTCACCCGCATGACCAGGTTCCAGCGGTCACGGAAACGCTGGCTCCAGTGAGAGCTCGCGTTCTAGTTCTTGTCGGGGTGGTGTTTCTTCATCCACTCGCGGCTCCACTTCTGGGTGTCCTTCACCGAGATGGCCACCCCGTTAGCGCGCTGCAGGCAGATGTAGCGGTACAACGCCGCCTCCATGTCGCGGTAGTGTGCGTGGCGGGCCCCCCCGTGCATCCGCTTGCTCCAGCGTCTGATGCAGGCGATGGATGCGGTTGATTCCATGCTCGTCTTCTTCAAGGAGCCGAGCTCCTAATAGCGGCGCGCCCACTTCAGCTTCTCGCGTACCGTCCATCCGCGTCGCCTTTTCGTAGTGTCCTTGCTGCGAGGGGAAGGTGGGCGGGTGTTGGGATTATGGAGGGTGGGGTCTTTCGGCGTGGGCTTCTCAGGGAATGAAGGAATCGGGCCCGCCGCTTCCGCGTATTCATCGTCGCTGCCCAGCGTCTCGTTGACCACGATGTCGTCCGGATTTGGCGTCTTCTTCACCTTCTTCTTAGCAGCACCCTTGCTGGATCCAGGGTCGCCGTCGGTTTTCCGCTTCTTGTTGCTTGTGCGGCGACGAACAGTGGCATTAGGAGGGGCTTCCGCGACCTTGGTTTTACCCTTCTCTGCAGCGGTGAGTATCGGGCGGCGCTCCATCCCCGGAGTGTGGTCGTCAGAGAGCACCACGCGGGCACGCTTCGGCTTGGACTGTAGGCGATGGCGCAGCCTCCGCTTCAAGAGCGGAACATCGTCGTCCGCCACTATGCACCATGGGTCGTCGTCCTCGCTTTCACCGTCAAATAAGACGGCATCAGCAAACCCCTCCGTGGCAACCTTGTCTGCCTCCGCCACGGCATCCGCATCCGCAATGGCGGCCACCTCTGCGGGCGCAACTGCCTCGGCATCCGCTTCCGCCTCGCCGTCAGCCTCCGCATTCGCATCCGCCGTCGCTCCCGGTGCATGCGCCGCTGCCTCCGCGAGGTCACCATCAGCATCGGCACCTCCATCGTTGTCCGAATCACCAGCCCGCCACTCTTCTACTTCGTCGTCACTCCCGACGGGCCGATTCCACCATTCGTCATCCTCGATGTCGGCAGGAGGTAATTCGTCCCCCGAAGCGCTGTCGTCGTGGCCGTTCTCTGGCCAATCCTCCTCGGCGTCGTCGCCGTGTTCTTCGTCGCCGTCGTCCCCGTCATAGCTCGCTTCGGAGGCGGCGGTAGATCTTTCCGCCCTCCTTGCGCCCTTCGCCATGGCTACACGGATATCATCGCCGGGCGAGTTAATTCGCCCGTAGTTATTCACCTGCATGTGAGGACGAGGTGAGGACGTGCCTACGGGTACTTTGCTGCGCATGGTAAGAAAGCCTGCCGAGAGCAAGGTTGAGTTGAGTATTTAACCTCCTTGAGCACCAAATGAAGCACGAGCCCGACTACCCCCCCCAGCCAGAGTGCCCCTTCCAAAGATGCCGAGCCGCTCCTCTACGAGGCATCTCCTCGTAGAGGACAACCCTCGCGCAGCCATCGTGCTGCCAGCAGCGTTATGGAAGGATCCATGCGCTGCTGGCAGCAAAACGACGCTGGCAGCATCATTAGATGCTGCCAGCACGGAGGAATGTTGTCAGCGGTGGCAGCTTTGCTGCATCCCTCACGTGGCAAGTGTGGGCGCTGCATGCATCACCACCGAGGTCGGCCTGTTTCAATGAATCTGGCCCCTGGTGTTGGAAACAATTGATTTAAAGCGCTTCTGTCGTGGCGAAACACCAAGTCACAAGCGAAGCAAAGCATATCGAAGCACCGGCGAGTCAACCCTCGGAGGTTGAAGTAACCGCTGGAGGTTACGCGAAAGTCAAAGGTCAGCGACCTTTGACCTGACTAGTACAGTGCGACAGCAAGGACACACAACTGACTCGTTACAGAGCAGTTGCCCGAGTCGTCACTGTATCGAACCGCAACAGCAACAATAAAACAGTTATAGTTGTACCTTTTCATATTCCTTGTACTCTTATATAATCTTGTATCTCTTTGCTTTAATTAACTTACTTTGCCCTCACACACTAGCGCAAGGTGGTTCACAATCTCATCATTAAACGCTTCCGCTATTACACTGTTCCTACCCAGAGTTCACCCCTGCAAAGATCCTAAGGGCTTTTTCAGCCCAACACCTAGGTGGTTTCTACACACTTTGCAAATGTTACAGACTACTTAATATTTTTTCATTTATAAGACTTAGAAGACACTCTAAACCATCCCAAATACAAGATAACTCAAGCATTTTTGCCCGTGTACGAGATAAGACATATATGTCTTATATCCGGGCGATGACGGTAGCGTAGAGGCAGACGGCCATTCTGATCAGATGCTGCAACTCCCCATTCTCGCCTTGTTTGGACTTGGCGTGCAAATCTTGACTCCAGGCTTTAACTTATCTAAGCATTCGTAACCATTCAATCTCCTGTAGCAGCCCTTGATGCTGTAGAAGTACTTCACATTGATGTACTTGCAGTCATCCCCTGGTGAGAGGGTGTACGTGCTGGTCCTGGAACAGATGCCTGCTAAGAAGCTGGTCGTGCTGCCAATGCACACCTGCAGCCACAAGAGAAGTGGCTCGTGGAGTGGAGTAGGGAATGCAGGGAAAAGCAGCAGCAGGGAACAACGGGCATTTGCAGAGGGCAAAGCACACAAACATCGAGTGCTTGAATGACACTGGTTTGCAGCACTGCTGGCATGAGCCTAAACTCCACTCAGCATGACTCTGGCATGACAAATATCATCCCTTCATCCGTTTTCTCATAGTGGCTTCATTCCTGATTTGCTTGTCAGTTATCTCTATCTCACCGGTGCGAGTTTGCAACTGTGGTCAGGGTTCCCATCCCATCCTGTTGGGGTAGACTAGAATTTGCTCTAAATCCAACATCCTTAGACTTTCCGATTATGCTTTGACGTTTCTCCGAAATCAACATTTGTTGGGCCACCTTCTCAATGTCCCCCGACTGCACACCACCCGTTGATTATGCCATCCTTGACCAATTATGCACTACTGGCATGCGACCATCTGGGGCTGTCCACACGTACCTCGCGCCACCTGCTCGCCAGTTATCCACAGCGCCTGAATAACTGAGCCGTCAACTTGACTTGGGTGTCTCACTCAATTGCTTAGCTAACTTGTATCTCCAGTCTCTTCCTCCATGGAAGACCTTGCACCACATTGCTACACTATCCCCATCCATCATGCTGCATGCACCCTACTCCATGCACCACAGTGACTCACCTCCGCACCAAAAGAATTTCTTGAAGTGGTGGAGCCAGCGTATTCCTTGAGGGGGATGAGCTGGTTGCAGTTGACGCCGGGGTTGAGGCGGTAGAAGTCCACGGGGCTGAGAGGAGGCTCGGCCAGCTGCCTTATGCTGTCGCACGTGTCGTTGAGGCGCGCCCGGTAGTACTGGTCGCACACCACTGTCACATTCGCCACCCCGGGGTCCCTCTCGATGCACACGGCCTGGGAGGGCCTGAGGGAGGAGCAGTTGACAGCGGGGTTGAGCGCCTGAAATGCCGCCTCACACTCTGCATCGGACGCTGCCGGCCAACACAGTCCCACCTGCCGCCCCACCCCCGCACACGTGTCGCCCTGGAGGGACATGGGGAGGAAGAAGGACATCACAGACAAGCACGGATTGACAGAGCAAAGGCTAATCGAGAGTGGGTCGATAATCGGGCTGAATGGAACATCATTTCTTCGAACGGAAGAAGCACGTTGGACGTAAGGTGTCAAGCAAACTGTGGTTTAGCAGTTCGTGGAGTCACAGAGCTGCTGTGTGCTGTGTGCTGCGTCCATGCGCAGCGGCCCATGGCTAAGGATAACCCCCGGATGGAGTCCTCACGAGCAAGGTGTTGTAGAAGACAGAGCAGGGTTGCTCTGTGGAGTTGACGAGCAGCCATGAGTTGAGGGGCAGAGGAGCAGAGCAGGCGATGCCCTGTGGGCCATGCAGTGGGTTGATGGCGCATGCAGGGGACGATGACACACGCAGGGACGATGGCACATGCAGGAATGTGTTAGAATTCCTCTCCTCTTGTAACCTGCATATATGCTATAGGATAGGCTAGAGATAAGCACCCAAACTTAGTTTGGGTGTACAAGCAGGGGTAACCCAGTTTTGAGGTTGGAACCCAACCTTGGTCCAATTATTGGACCCCAAAGGTTGGGTTGAGTGGAATTATTGGCTCCCTCCAATAATGTTGGTCCAACCCCAACTTGACCAACATTATTGGACCCCACCAATAATCACCCAACCCAACTTCTTGGTTGGGGTCCAATAATGCCAACCTAGGTTAGCATCCAACTCACTTCCCAACTTCAGCTATGTATACCCCTGTTGTTCTTAGTCTATTCATCACTTTCCAATCCTAACTTCACTTCCCACATGGTATAGAGCTACCAATCCTAGGCCTTCTCCCCTTCAAAATTCTCAAGGGCCCACCCGGCCGTCGCAACCCCCGGCGTTCTCCCCGCACAATATTTTTCCCACGGCCATCCCGCCGCCTTTCCCCCACGCCTGAGCACCCCTTCCCCACCGCAGCCCCGTGTCCGCTGCCGCGGCCTCGCCAGCCGCCGCCGACCACGCCTATCCCTTCCGCGGCCCCGTCGCCGCTTCCGCGCCTCAGCCGCCGCGGCCTCGCCAGCTGCCGCCGCCCTCGCCCATCCCTTCCGCGGCCCCGACGCCGCCTCCGCGCTTCAGCTGCCGCGGCCTCGCCAGCCGCCGTCGCCCGGGCGTGTCTCCTCCGCGGACTCATCGCCGCATCCGCGCCAGCACCGCCTCGGTCTTACCAGCCGCTGCCGCCCGCGCCATTCCCCCCCTCCGCGGCCTCCATGCCGCCTCCGTGCCCACGCCGCCGCGGCCTCGCCAGCCGCCGCCGCCTGCGCCCATCCCCTCCGCGGCCTCCACTTCGCCTCCACAGCCCCACCTGCCGCCGCTGCCCGTGCTATTCTCCTCCCCCCCCCCCCCCCGCGGCCTCCACGCCGCTTCCGCGCCTACGCCGCCGCGGCCCCACCTGCCGCTGCCGCCTGCGCCCGTCCCTCCGCGGCCTCCACGCTGCTCCTGCGCCTGTCCCACCCCGGCCCCACCTGCCGCCGCCACTCGCGCCCTTCCCCTCCGCGGCCTCGCTGCCCCTTCCACGCCTACGTCGCCGCAGCCTCGCCCGCGCCTTTCCCCTCCGCGGCCGCAATCTCAGCGCCGTTTCCGCGCTCATACTGCCACGGCTTCACCACGCCGCCACTCCCCACGCTCTTCCCTGACCACTACGGGTCTACCCGTAGCCGTCCCTCATGGCCAACCCCATCCCCTCCTCCTCACCTCTTCCTCCTCCGATAGACACCTTCTTTATTGATAAACTGCTACTCGCCGCTGACAAGTCTGCCATCAACTGACACTCCTTCGTCGGCAGTGTCCGACGTGTCCTCAAAGACGCGTGAGTTCCTCCCTATTGCGTCCTCGATGTCCTCCTCCGCCACCTCCATGCCCTTCCCCCCACCGAACCTGACCACCCCGGTGACACCCCTCCTCTCCCTCCCTCTCCTGGCCCTCCTCCTCCTGAACCCGAACTCTAGATCACCACAGACCCCACGCAACAACCTACTGCAGACGCAGTCTTTCTTCTTCGTCGCTGCAAATACCTCATCCATAAAGCTGACTACGACACCGCGGCAGACGACTACGCCCAGGCGCTCACCGGACACAACGCCCAGGCGCTCGCCGGGCGCAACGCCCACCTAGTCGTCGTCGCCAAATACAATGAAGAGATGGCATCCTTCACTCCGAAGCTCATCGCCGGGTCCGCTGCTGACTGCACCGTCCTCCTTGGTGCTCTCCCAGACTCCCTCATGCGCCGCTTCCAGGCTCGCGAGGGAACTCCGTGTCTCGGTGATCTGGACAGAGCTTCATGCTATGTTCGAGCGTCGCGACATCAGTTCGGTTGACATTCTCTTCCAAAAATATTTCTCCATCACCCTCGCTATCTGTGACGGCGCAGTCGACTATATTGGATCGCCAAGCCGGTCTCTCCGAACCCCTCCAAATCCATCGCCTCCTCTTCAACCTCACCCCGGACTATGAATCCCGCCTTCAACCCCATGGCTGATCTCAGTTCTGTTGAACAGTGGATCAGTGATATCGAATTTAAACTTCGCACCCCTGTCGTCAACCTCGCCTCATCCCAGCCCTCCTCCTCCTCTCTCCACGCCACACAGCCACGCAAGCAGCCCAAAAGTAACGGCAAAGAGGGAGGGGGGGGCAAGGGAGGCAGCGGTCAAGGAAACAGCAGCACTGCTTTTGGAGGCCGCGGAAGTCGCCCTGGCACTCTCTCGCCCTGCACCTATGTCCGCCGTTACGGTCCCCGGGCAGGAACACCCTGCGGTCAAACCAATCATCCCCCTGGCACCTGCTTCAAGGCCCTTGACGATGCTTGGTTCGCACGGGGTAACGTCAGCACCCCTCTCCACTGGGGCACCATCACTCCGCGTCCCTCCATTACTGACATCCAAACCAACCCTTCTTACCTACCTGCCCACCTCCGCCTCCTTGCTCCCCCCACGCCATTCCTCAATCTTCACCAGCAGCATCTCCTGCAACAGCAACAGCAGCAGCAGCAGCAGTTCCAACAGCAGCAGCAGCTGCAGTCACCACTGCAGCAGCATCCGAGGAGACCTAACCCCCACCAGCAATGGGGACCCAGCACCGCTCCCTGGCAGCAGCAGCAGCTAAACTTTGGCACAGCAGCCATGGCCGCTCAGACCTCCCCCGCCCCCTTTGGGGTGCTCCACCCCTAGTAGCATTGCCGCCCCCCTCACTCAGGATAGCTTCCTCGGCAATATTGCTGTCTCACCATCTATTTCCTCCATGTACACATCCAACATAAATGAGACTACCTTCCAGTACTCAGTTTCTCCCTCCTCCTCCTCACCCACCCTGGACTTCGTCCTTGACAGTGGGGCCACTGAGACTGCTCTCAAGGATGCTGGTACACTCAAACTCCTCCCTCTTCCCACTCAGGTTCACGGTGCTGACAACAGTTTCACTATCCCACGCACACACCTCTCCACTCTCCCCTGCACAATCTTTCCCTCTGGTAAGGTAACTGACCTCCACATCCCCACCCTCCGTAAAAGCCTCATCTCCCACTGGGAACTCCAAAGTGCAGGTATCACTGCCGTCTATCCAGGTAACGCCACCTACTGCGACCTCATTCCCCTCTGCCCCCGCACTCGCCTCTACACTCTCCGCACCCCATGGCCATCCTTTTGCCATGTCACTACCCGCGCTGGTACCTCCACTGATCCTCCCCACTTTCCCCCACCAACTCCCACTCCGCCACCTCCCCCCACCTCCATCCCACCCTCACCCGCTCCAACCCCCTCCACCTTGGACAATCTCTCCCACCCCGCTGTACTATTACACCACAGACTCGGCCATCCCAACTTCGCCACTCTCCGCGCTGCCGTCACCTCTCGACTCCTTTACAGCCTCCCTCCCACTCTTCCTCCCCTCCCTTCCTCTCCGGCCCCCCCATGTCCCTCCTGCATCCACGGCAAACTCAAACAGTCGCCTCATTACAGCCACCCATCCTTTGCCCTGCCCCACTTGACGTTGTCCACATGGACCTCTTGGGACCTTCCCCCACCCGCTCACGCCAGGGCCATCACTACATGCTGGTCCTGGTTGACGACCACAGCCGCTACTCCTCCATTTTCCTCCTCCACACCAAAGACCAGGCGCCGACTGTAATCATCAACTGGGCAGAGCAATGCCGAGCCCACTTCAAACGTCCCATCGGCCGCCTTCACTCCAACGGTGGAGGTGAATTCCTCAATCGCACTCTCTCCCACTACTGCGCCTTCTATGCATCCAACAGACTCACACCCTTCCCCACTCCCCGCAGCAGAACGGCGTCGCAGAAAGCCGCATTCGCAAAATCACCAAAATCGCTCGCTGTCTTCTCGCTCACGCCTCCACCCCTCCTTCCCTATAGGTATGCTCTACTTCATGCTGCCCTCCTCCTCAACTTTCACTCCCATCCCCAACATGCTATCACCACCCCCACGGAACTCTAGTCAGGCACCAAACCTGACGCTGTAGGTCTTCGTGTATTGGGCTATAAGGTATACGTCCTTATTCCTCCTCCTAATCGCACCCACTCTCGCGCCCTCGAGAGTGTCTACCTCGGACACAACCGCGACTCACCTGTGTATCTCTTCCTCCACCCTCCCTCCGGGCGCCTCATTCGTAGCATTGATGTCGTCTTTGACGAAACCACCCCTTACTACTCTACTCCACCACCAGACCCCCTCCCTCCCCCTACTCGTCCCCTTACCTGGACCGATACCGTCCTTCCTCCCCTCCTCCCTCCTGCACCCCTTCTACCACCTCTCCCTGCTCCACTCCCTCCGCCCTCATCTGCTGAATTTTTACGATCCTGCCACACCTGCATCCCCGGCCCACTCCACGGCCCCCCTCCCTCCTCCCCCTCCTCCCCTCCTCCTCCGCCACAGGAGCAGCAGCAGCAGCAACCACAGCAGCAGCAGCAACAGCAGCAACAGCAGCAGCAGCAGCAGCAGCAGTAGCAGCAGCAACAGCAGCCGCAGCAGCAGCAGCAGCAGCCGCCGGAGCGGCAGCAGGGGCAGCAGCAGGGACAGCCGCAGGGGCAGCAGCTGGACCAGCCGCAAGGGCAGCAACAGGGGCAGCAGCAATGGGAGGAGCAGCAGCCACAACAGCAGCAGGGGCTCCAGCAGCACTAGCAGCAGCAGCGGCGGCGAGCAACTGCCCGCTCCTCTCCTTTCCTCCTCCCCCGCATGCATACCCGCTCCCTTGATCCTATTCTTGGCTCTCTCAACCTCCTTGAGGATTCCCACGAGGAGTTTACTACGGTCCAATACCACACTCCCTCTCTCGCTCCGCTCTACCCTGACTTCCTCGGTGCTCTTGTCCTCTCCGCCGTCTCCGCTCCCACCATCTTCGTCCCCTCCACCTTCCAGGAAGCTATCACCTGCCCTGACGCTGACATTGGTGTACGTGACACATGGAGATGGACTCCATGGATGTCTCCAATGCGTTCCTGCAAGGCAAACTGCACGAGCGCATCTTCCTGTGGTGGCCTCCCGGATTTCATGCTGCCTTCCCCGACAACATTGTCTGGCAGCTGCGCCGCCCGGTCTACAGTCTGAAGCAGGCGCCATGGGAATGGCATGCGAAGCTGTCTGTCACGGTCTCTCC